AAATAATCATATATTTTTTAACAAAAAAAAGGAAAATTAGGCATATTTTCAAAAGTTGAAAAATATTTTCAGTAAAAAAAAAAAAGCAATCAAACACTCCAAAGTAAGAATTTTGACTGTAAAACAAAAAATTTTCATGAAAAATAAATGCAATTAAACACACCTTAAAGGAGCAATGAATTCCACGACATATAAGAACTATAAAAGCATTTCAAAATGCTATTAAAAAGTGAGATACTCTTTATTTTAGAGAATCAAACTTTAAAAATAAACTTCAAAACATTGTTTATTTTATAATTGAAAATGCAATATGGATTTAACTCTCTACATTTGGAGAGTCAAAATAACTTTCTATTTATATTTTATCAAGATTACATTTAATAAATTGCAAGTTTCAGTGCTCTGTACTTAAATTATTTATAAATATTATAATGAATATTGGAAGAAGTAAATAAAAAGTGAAAGTAAGGAGTTCGTTGTACTGTATACAAATAATTATTCTTTTTAATTTAAGAATATTATTTATTATGATCAAGATATTCTTTCAAAATAAGGAGTCTCTTAAATATACTTCAATGGGTATTAATGTCCAATGTGTAGTTCAAATTATAAGAAGCTAATAGAAAAACCCAAACACAGGCATTGGGGATATCTATGTGTAAAAGAAATTCTTTATTTTTGCTAACTATATTTACTAATTGAATACTAAAACGGCTTAATAGTATTCAAGTTCTATAATGATACATATTATATGCTAATATGTGTGATTTGCTTTGACACTTTAATTTCATTGAAATGGAAACTATAGACAGAACATAACCAATTGAAGTTAAGAGCACATAGCGAATATATGACACAGAGAAAAGATCGTACACTATATACATGTAACTAGACACACTATCAAAACAAATTGTTTTAGTGCAACAACTCTGATAACTATTAGAGATGGAAAGGTGCATTCCCAATGGACTACCTACATGTTGATTTTTAGGGATTCGTGAGGTAGCTTATAGAACATAACAAGTAAATACACACTCCAAATGCCCCAATCAGCATGATATAAAAATTAATCAACTACCAAAGTCAATGTACCTTGCAATCTAGCTCTCATCCATTGAATTGATTGGAGTCTATCTCCCTATGAGGTTATGTAAGGTTCTGCCAAGGGCGAGAATAAGTAGGGATCTTGACTTGTTAAAAACCATGAGGATAATGTGAAGCAATCAAAGACAAAGTCGCTGGGTCATGTAGCTTCATTGTATCCTGATAAAGTGCAAAGGGAACATGTGAGGCCTCAACGTGGCAGGATATATTAGCCTACCTGACCTTGCTTTTTAGGTGGCATTATGGGACTTGCAGATTTGAGGTGTAACAATAGTCCCTCGAGTCTACGTCCAATATTTATTTTAGGCATTAGACTTATGTATAAAGTTGTGACATGTTCTGATTCTTCCAATAAAATAATTTTTTTTTTTTGCAAAGATAGGCCAGTCACGGTGGGAACTTCGTCGAAGCATGTCGCTTATGAAGAACTCTTAAACGTGTAAATTTTTTATGACTTGTTTCTTTTATTATGAGTTTAATTCTAAAGAAATTTTGTTATGGAGCTTCTTTTGACGAAGTATAACATTATTCTCCAAAGTTGTCTATTATTCATATTAGGTTGAGAACTTGAGGTAAAAATATAAATGGCTAAAAACTTTAGTGGGGCACTTGTGGCAACTCCATAGGGGCAATGTGAGAACGTGCTAAACGGCATAAATTCGCAAAGCCACGATTATATCTATGACTATTATACGATAGAATAATGATACTGAACATCATTGGTACCAGTCTAGATGGCAACCACAAGGTATAAAATGATATCTCGGCTTAAACGCAATATCATATGATTTATTTAATTGTACATATTACGTGTGACCACTTAAATTGGTGTTCTATGACAATGGATACAAGATAGCATTATTCTATATGAAATGCCACAATCATTAATGCATTCATCAATCAGGTGCATGGATGATGAGTGCATGAGGCACGTAATATGTATGGCTCATTGATTTTAATTGCAAGATTCTCATCTCTTCCAATTCAATCGGGCAATTTGCAAACTCAAAAATAAGATTACAAACTCAAAACCTACTAACTAAGTCAAGATAGTAATCAAAAATAAATTACAAACTCAAAACCTATAACAAACTAACTGACTTGAACAATTCTGCAGTTTAACAAGCACATGTTTCTTGAAACAATAACTGAACACCCAATGTTAAATGTGTGAAAAATAGTGTAAGAAAATTGTTCAAGCACTTATATAATTTAGGCAATTTATGAATCAATTAGACTTGTTCAGTTTTCACTATGCATGCTAAATTAATATACATATAATACATATGTACTACTGTCTGCCATATGTACTCTCCCTTTTTGTCAAACAATGACAAGGAGTAAGCCTAGAACTATGAAACACCAGCATCGGAGTCCATCCTCTCTTCGGAGTTAGCATCATCGTCCCAAAGACAGCGTATTTGATGAAGCCCACGCTGAACATATCCACCAACACTCTGAAGTGTAGCAAACTCGAAAGTATGTCAATCCACACTGGCACGTAGCTGGGTAATCTCTACCATCATACGAGCCTGCTGCTCGATGAGCACTATCATCTGACCCAAGAGAGCGACCAATGTGTTGATAGGAGCGGAAGTAGAGGGTGCAGATGCAAAAAGATGAAGAACAGCCTCGGACGGAGGTAGAGCAGAAGTAGAGGTAGAAGGGATATCAGATGGCGGAGGAGCAAACGAAAATGAAGGAAAATCGGATGAATCAAAAGAAATAAGGTCATCAATCGGATCAATCGGCACACTCGAGTTAGCCGGCTGTGCTAGCTCAGAAATAGTATGAGACCTACTCTGGGCAAAAGTAGTGTGTCGAATCAGCTGAGAAACCCACCGAAGAAACCCATTGGGAAAACTAACACCTAAGGCTATCATGAGTCGATAGATGAAACAGGCATAGGGAAGTCCCACCCGAGTGCCCGTGGTACGAAAAGCCCTCAAAATCTGCCGGCAAATTAATGAAGGCAAGTCAATGGAATCGTCATGCAGCAGGGCATAGTAAAAAATGAGCCTTCTCCATCGGTAATGAAGAAGTGTGGGAAACAGCCAAAGATTCATGCACACAATGCACAATAAAATTTGGCGCTCAGTCGGTAAAGAACCAGTGCGAATCGTACCTAGACCTTCTTCCAACTGTGCGTTAAACGCCGTCGAATGAACAAATGAGCCCGTCAGAAGTGAATCAGGAGTAAGATAGGGAAATAGGGATGGACGACCTAGGAAATGTGAATAAAACTCGAAATAACATCCGGAGTAATCTTAACTGTTCTACCCCTGAATAAAAACCTAAAAGAAAAACCGCTAACATCATGAATATTAGCGTAGAACTAGTAAATATGAAGGCTAGGAGGAGGAGTCAACTTGACCAATAAGGGTTCCCATCCCCAGGATGTGAAAATAGCAACAAGGTCGGATGACAAGTCAGAAAGGATGACCTCGGACTCAAATAGAATGGGTCGAAGTGAAAACTGCAACCCAAATGTGTCTTGGGCCATAACTGTGATAAATCTAGTCCTACTGTATGAAGTAGAGGTACTAGGAGTGGAAGGGGTTGGTCGTGCTCTCTTAGGTAACATTTGAAATAAATGGAAACACAACATTAAAACCTCGACATACGAAAAATCAAACATGACATGCATGAGATGTATGAATGCACGCAAAATGAGGTAAAGATAATAACATACAACGTGTCCTAGCATGAATGCATGACGACATGCAATGGTGCCTTGACAGAATTGACGTGAGGACATGATGCGTGCCGTGATGTCTAGACCCAGGGACGTGATACCATGACGAAGCGACGCGATACCATGACGTAAGTGACATCATCGTGTGGTGTCAATATGAACACACGCCTCCATCACACAAACCAACACCAACAAACCACACGTTCCAGCCAACAACATACAATCCCAAACGAATTCAATTATGCAAAGAACAAAATCGACTCTAAAGCAAAATGCACTAGAAAATCAACCAAAACAACAACCAAGAGTTCCACTACCCAACTTCAAGGCAAACACGCAATATACACCACAAACTTAATCTAATGCATCATCATGAACCAACTATGCAAAATTGAAAACAAAAATGGTATGAAAACCACCCAAATGCAAGTAAAAAGGGACCAACCAATGTATATGCCAAACCCGTGCACAAATTGATGAAAATCTAATGCATAAACAATTAAGAATCCAACTAACGCCTAAACAATGAAGAATCCAACTAAAAATGCAAAAATAATAGAAAACCAAAAATTTTGAAATTTACCTTTGTAAGTATATGATTTAATGAAATTCCAACTCAATGAAGTGATTCTAAGTGAGTATGGAGTGGACAAAACACCAATTTAGCGTGGGATGTGAAGAATTTGGAGAAATCAAGTGAAAAATTGTGAAAAATGCAAGATACCCTTGAAAACGCTTTAAAATTCAAATTGACGGCCTGTCGCTCGAGCAAAAGTTGAGAGACAAGAGAGCGAGGCCAGGTGATAAACTAGCGAAAATTCAATTGACATAAATAGCAATTCAAATTTAAAATCTAAGAAAAAAGCACCAAAAATCTTCAATTCACAGAAATAGCACTTCAAATTTAAAAATTAAGAAAAGCGGCACCAAATATTTTTCAATTGACAGAAACAACATTTCAAAGTTGAAAATAAGAAAAATAGCACCAAAAATTTTCAATTGACAAAAATAGCACTTCAAAGTGAAAAATTAAGAAAAATAGCACATTTTTTTTATAAAATTGTTAAGGAATACTTTAAATTGAATAAATATAGTAATATATATAAATATTTTTTATTTTACTTGTGAAAACAAAAATCAAAGTTAAGTAAGTGAAACTCTTGTTAGACCGATGATCACAACCACGCATGCATTCACAAGTCGAGCATTATCAATAAGGACTTTCCCACGTA